AAAAGCCAAAATGGCCCAAAAATTATCAAAAAAAAAAAAAATCCCAAAATTATCCAAAAATGATCCCAAAAAATCCCAAAATGATCCCAAAAGATCCCAAAATGGCCCAAAAATTATCCCAAAAAAATCCCAAAATTATCCAAAAAATCCCAAAATGATCCAAAAATGATCCCAAAAAAAAAATCCCAAGATGATCCCAAAAAATTCCAAAATTATCCAAAAAATCCCAAAATGATCCAAAAATGATCCCAAAAAAAAAATCCCAAGATGATCCCAAAAAATTCCAAAATTATCCAAAAAATCCCAAAATGATCCAAAAAAAACCCCCAAAAATCCCAAAATGATCCAAAAAAATCCCAAGAAATCCCAAAATGATCCCAAAATGATCCAAAAAATCCCACAATGATCCCAAAAAATCCCAAAAGGATTAAAAAAATGATCAGGAAAAAAAACCCCAAAATTCTGGGAATTTTTCCCCAAATTCCAACAATTCTCAACCCCCAAATTCCAGGACCCTCCCAAAAATCCCAAAAAACCCCAAAATTTGGGAGTTTGACCCCAAAAATGAGGAAAAAAAATCCCAAAAATCAGGAAAAAAAAGCGCAAAAAAATTGTGAAAAAACAAAAAAAATATCAGGAAAAAACCCCCAAATTTTGGGAATTTTCCCTAAAATTTCAACAATTCCCAATTCTGGAATCCCAGGACCCCCAAAATGCCAAAAAGCCCCAAAATTCGGGGGTTTGGCCCCAAAAATGGGGGAAAAAATCCCAAAAATCAGAAAAAAACCCCCCCAAAAATTGTGAAAAAATCAAAAAAAATCAGGAAAAACCCCCCAAATTTTGGGAATTTTCCCTAAAATTTCAACAATTCCCAATTCTGGAATCCCAGGACCCCCAAAATGCCAAAAAGCCCCAAAATTTGGGGGTCTGGCCCCAAAAATGGGGGGAAAAATCCCAAAAATCAGAAAAAAACCCCCCCAAAAATTGTGAAAAAATCAAAAAAAATCAGGAAAAACCCCCATAATTTTGGGAATTTTTCCCAAAATTCCCAATTCTGGAATTCCAGGACCCCCCAAATTCCCAAAATGTTCCAAAATTCGGGGCTTTGGCCCCAAATCTCACCTGCATGAAGCCCATCCCCCCCATGACCTGGATGCACTCGTCAGCCACGGCCCAGGCGGCCTCCTGGAAATTTGGGAAAAACCCCAAAAATTTGGGGAAAAAAGGAAAAATTCGGGTTAAAAACCAGCCTGGAAAAAGCCAAAATTCCCCCAAAATCCACCCAGAATTCCCAGGGACAAAAATTCCTAAAATTCCCCCCGGAATTTGGGGTTTTTCTCAGCAAAAAATTTGGGATTTCACCCAAAATTTGTTGAAAAATCCTTCAGAATTCCCATTAAAAAATCCCAAATTTCACTCAGAGCCCTCCAGGAGCCCCCAAAATTTGGGAGAATCCCAAAATTCCTCCTAAATCCATAAAAATCTCCCCCAAAATTTGGGGTTCCCTGCCCAAAATCCCCCCAAATTTGGGAATTCTCGAAATTTCTCCCAAATTCCCCCCAAAAAAATCCCCAAAATGGGGGGAAATCCCCAAATTCCTCCCAAAATCCATAAAATTCCCCCCCAAATTTTGGGAGTTTTTGGAATTTCTCCCAAAAATCTCCCAAAATCCATAAAAATCCCTCCCAAACTCCAGAAAAATTCCCCAAAATTGGGGAAAATCCCAAATTTCCCCCATAATCCCTCCCCAAATTCATCCAAATCCTCCCAAATTTTGAGAATTTTTTCAATTCCTCCCAAAATTCCCCCGAAAATCTCTACCAAAGCCCCCCCCAAATTTGGGAATTCCCAAAATTCCTCCCAAAAATTCCAGAAAAATCCCCCCAAAAATTGCAGAAAACGCCAGAATTCCCCCCCAAACCCCCCAAAAAAAAACCCCCAAAATTGTGGAAAATCCCGAAATCCTTCCCAAACTCCCCCCAAATCCCAGAAAAATCCCAAAAAATCCCCCAAAAATCCCCAAAAAATCCCGAATTTCCTCACGGAGCCGAAGATTTTGCTGATGGCCGCCTCGATCTGGAAGTCGGGGTCGCCTCTGTCCATGTTGGCGCTGATCATGAAGGCCATGGACTGGATTTGGGGGCAAAAAACGGGAATTTGGGACGTTCCCAAAAAATTTTGGGATGTTCCCAAAAAATTTGTGAAGTTCATGAAAAAATTCTGGGGGTTTCCATCAAAAAATCCCAAAAATTCACCCAAAATCGACCCAAATTCCGCCCAAATCCAGCCCAGAATTGTTTCCATCTCCAAATCCTGCTGGATTTTGGGGAAAAAAACGGGAATTTGGGACATTCCCCAAAAAATTGTGGGATGTTCCCAAAAAATTTGGGACGCTCATGAAAAAATTCTGAGGTTTTCCATCGAAAAATTCCAAAAATTCACGTAAAATCGACCCAAATTCCGCCCAAATCCAGCCCTGAATTGTTTCCATCTCCAAATCCTGCTGGATTTTGGGGAAAAAAACGGGAATTTGGGACATTCCCCAAAAAATTGTGGGATGTTCCCAAAAAATTTGGGACGCTCATGAAAAAATTCTGAGGTTTTCCATCGAAAAATTCCAAAATTTCGACCAAAATCGACCCAAATTCCGCCCAAAATCCAGCCCTGAATTGTTTCCATTCCCAGATCCTGCTGGGTTTGGGGGAAAAAACGGGAATTTGGGACATCCCCAAAAAAATTTGGGATGTTCCCAAAAAATTTGGGAAGTTCCTGTTTAAAATTCTGGGGTTTTCCATGAAAAATTGACAAAATTTCGACCAAAATCGACCCAAATTCCACCCAAATCCAGCCCAGAATTGTTTCCATTCCCAGATCCTGCTGGATTTTGGGGGAAAAAAAACGGGAATTTGGGACATTCCCAAAAAATTTTGGGAATTTCCCCAAATTCCCTCCTAAATTCCCAGCAAATCCCACCCAAAATTCCTAAATTTTCTTCCAATTCCCCTTAAAATCCTCCCCAAAATCCTCCCCAAAATCCTCCAATTTTTCAGGATCCTTCCAAAAACCTCCCCAAATTCCCTAAAATCATCCCAAAATTCCCAAAGTTTTGGGATTTTCCCCCAAAATTCCTAAAATTTCCCCCAATTCCCCCATAAAACCTCCCCAAAATCTTCCAAAATTCCCCAAATCCCTCTCAAAACCCCCCAGAAACCTCCCCAAATTCCCCCAAAATTCCCAAAATCTTCCCAATTCTCCAAAAATAATCCAATCATTCCCAAAATTCGGGGAATTTCCCCAAATTCCCTCCAAAATCCCCCCAAAAACCTCCCCAAATTCCCCAAAATCTTCCCAAATCTCCCCAAATTTTTCCAGATCATTCCCAAATTCCCCCAAAATTTGGGAATTTCCCCAACCTCCCCAAAATTCAGGAAATTCCCCCCCAAAACCTCCCCAAATCCCCCCAAATTTTTCAGGATCCTTCCCAAAATCCCCAAAATCTCCAGAATTTCTCCCAATCACCCCCCAAAAAATCCCCAAATTTTGGGAATTTTCCCCCAAAATCTCCCCAAATTTTTCAGGATCCTTCCCAAATTCCCCCAAAATTTGGGAATTTCCCCAAATTCCTCCAAATTTTTCAGGATTTTTCCCAAAAAATTCCCCAAATTTTGGGAATTTCCCCCCAAAACCTCCCCAAATTCCCCCAAAATCTCCCCAAATTCCCCCAAATTTTTCAGGATCCTTCCCAAATTTCCCCAAATTCCTCCAAATTTTTCCCAAAAAATTCCCCAAATTTGGGGAATTTCCCCCCAAAACCTCCCCAAATCCCCCAAATTTTTCCGGCTCCTTCCCAAACTCCCCAAAATTCCCCAAATTCCCGAAATTACCTCGGTGACGTAATGCAGCAGCGCCATCCTGCCCAGCTTCTCCTGGATGGCCCCAAATTCGTGGATTTTGGCCCCAAATTGGGTCCGGGTGGAGGCGTGGGAAACCTGGAATAATCCAAAATTTGGGAAAATCCCAAAATTTGGGAAAATCCAAAAAAATTGGGAAAATCCCCCCCCCCCCAAAAAAAAATGGGAGAGAAAAGAAAGGGAGGGACTTGGGGGGAGTTTTAGGGGGTTTTTTGGGAATTTTCAAGGAATTTTGGGGGATTTTGAGGGGGATTTTTGGGAATTTTTTATTTTTGGGAATTTTCAAGGAATTTTTAGGGGATTTTGAGGGGGAATTTGGGGCATTTTAAGAGAATTTTGGGGGGAATTTTAGAGAATTTTTTGCCCGTTTCCTCCATTTTTTTCCCCCTTTTTTTGGGTTTTTTTCCAGATTTTGGGATCCCAGAATTCCCAAAATTCCCAAAACTTGGGAACCTCAAATCCCAGCAGGATCTGGACTCACTTTAGCTCTGATTTGCTGAGAATTTTGGGGTTTTTTGCCGATTTCCTCATTTTTTTACCAATTTTTTTCCATTTTTTCCCCATTTTTGGGGGTTTTTTTCCCCATTTTTCGTGTTTTTCCCCAAATTTCGGCATCCCAAAATTCCCAAACTCCCCAAAATTTGGGAATCTCAAATCCCAGCAGGATCTGGACTCATTTCAGCCCAAATTTTCAGGGGAATTCCACGGTTTTTTGCAGATTTCCTCATTTTTTACCCATTTTTTCCCATTTTTTGTTTTTTTTCCCCCAAATTTTGGGATCCCAAAACTCCCAAACTTCCCCAAAATTTGGGAATCTCAAATCCCAGCAGGATCTGGACTCATTTTAGCTCTGATTTGCTGAGAATTTCGGGGGTTTTCTGCGGATTTCCTCATTTTTTACTGATTTTTCCCATTTTTGGGGGTTTTTCCCCCAAATTTGTCACCCCAAATTTCCCAAACTTCCCCAAAATTTGGGAATCTCAAATCCCAGTATGATGTGGGGTGATTTTAGCTCTGATTTCCTGAGAAATTTGGGGTTTTTTTGCCGATTTCCTCCTTTTTTACCCATTTTTCCCATTTTTTGGGGTTTTTTGCCCCAAATTTGTCACCCCAAATTCCCAACCTCCCCAATCCGGCTCTCACCGCCGCCTGCAGCAGCCCCCGCACAGTGCCGGCCATGGCGGCAATTTTGGGGTTTTTTCCCCCAAATTCCCACCCCCCAATCCGGCTCTCACCGCAGCCCGCAGCAGCCCCCGCACAGTGCCGGCCATGGCGGCAATTTTGGGG